GGCATGTTGTAATTTATGATGAGATTAACATGTTATCCCCCCCATTAATGTAAGGTCTTCCAGAGCCCCATATATGGGAGTGAATTTGCCCCCTTTTCTAAATTTGGTAAGCTACCTCATACTGAGTATGCATTAAGAGGGTTCATGTGGAGAGCTAGTATAGAGTAGCTGGCATGCTGTGAATACCCACCCAAGCTTTCTTTCCACAGACTTCCTTGTATGAATGGATACTTTGTCTAATAGTCATTCTACATGAGGGCTTTTAAATAACCTGGATGACATGCAACAGGTAGACTGAATTTGTGTATTCACCAAAAAAGATCGAAAATAGGAGTTAAGACTTCTCAGTACAGAAGTGTATATTCTCATAGGCATTGCTGTGGCATGGAATAAAAGTTGCAAAAGTACTTCTGTAATTTGGGAGTTAAGCAGAACATATGAAGGCAAACTGCACTAGTTTGAACCCAATCTGAAGGTAGATGTCATTTGAGATTTGATAAATTTTTAGTGTTCTCCTTTGATGTTTCTAACTGCTTTCCTAACCTTTAATTCATCAAAATCATTAATAACTAACTTTATTGTTTAGAACTGGATTTACCAGTGCTGTCATTGCTGATACCTTTTAAAATTCCAGGGAGAGAGCACCCTTAAAGCACCTTTTGCTTAGATAGTGAACTTCATCTTTACACAACAGAATGGAAAAATGAGCAGACCCTGCAAATCTGCAGAATGTCACAGACCTAGTTTGTGGAGGAGCCATGCAAATCATGATGTTTCCTTGGGATAAGGATTTCTGAGTTATTCAAAAAGCACCTTTTCTCACCTGGCACAAACAATCCATAGAAATCCACAATACTTTACTTGTTAATCCAGGATTAACATGGTGGTTATTTATGTGTTTATTTAGATTAAAGATTATATCTATTAAATTTCTCTCTTGGATCAGATTTTATAACCCAATGATCTTTTTAAGCAAAATCTTCCTTTAGTTTATTCCTATAGAGACAGTTCCTTTCCTAAAACACTGTGTTCTACCTGTTGGCACCAATGTGGTTTAAACCAATAGAAGCTTTTTGTTTTACAAGATTATTCTGGGTCATTCTGTTGTCTTTGACCCAGGTTAAGCAGCCATTTTAGGGCCAGATCTATCCTGTCCCTCTCCTACTGAAATCAATGGAAAGGTTCATTATAGTGTCAGTGAAACTTAAAGTGGGGCCTTTACAGCCACAAAGCCATAGTGAATAAGAGTTGACCTTGCAGGCTTACTCACCTTTGTTCTTTAGCTTTCTGTCCATGTGATTCAGACAGCTACCCTCTCACCTGGTGCTGGATAAAGCTAAGCATCAGCTTTGTCACTATGGAATCCATGGAGTTAGAAGAACTCTGTTAGATCCTTAGCAGGTTTTTCCCATGTTTCATTATTTAGCTTTAAATGCCTTTAAAAATAGCCCTTTCTCTGGTCTTCCCCCCACCCCTCCTCCCCCTGGCACTTCGTCCTCTTAGTCAGCCTCAGTTTTTTTCCATTTTTAAATGCATCCATTTACTCTACTACAGAAAATAAATCCTCAAACATTCAATATTTCTAGACAGTCTCATGACTTCTCCTTTTGGCAAGTAAACTTTCTAAAATGACTTGTATAACTAAAAAAGAAAACGTCTAAGATACAGTTCTTACTTCATTTTTGCAATACATGAGTCATCCAATACCTTCCATCACACACAAGTGTATTAAAGTTAGTTTTGGTTAATTTACCTGTTTGGAATGTCTTTCAAGTATGATAGGATATGACCTGAAAAGAATTGGGTTGGTACCTCTTTAAAACATCTTTAGGTATTTTTTTTTTAACCTTGGAAACATCATAAGTAAAAAATGTATGTTTCCCTGGTTCTGCTGAAGACCTTTAGAAGAACTCCATGACAAAGGACATTGTTCCAAAATAACTGTGAATCATTTAAATTAGATGTTAACAAGAGAAGTGCATTAAATATCCCTTTCCTGCCTTCAACCACTTGCCGTTACCCTCTGAGCCTCTGGTATCGCTGTTTCACTAGCTCTCCATTTCACAGATAGTCTTCTAGTCTGGACAGAGTCTTAAATTCAAACGTAAGACCACAAGCAGGAAAAAACTCAGAAGAGGGGAGTGGGGAGGTAGGTAGGAAGGGAAGTTCAGGGAGGCATTTCAGACAGGCTTAACAGCTGGCGAATTCTTTTATTTGAAAATTCAGTAAAAGAAAGCCAGATCACTAGATCAGTTGTCATTAGTCTTTCTTGCCAAGTGTTAATTAGATGCATAAATTTATGCATTAGAATCTAGCAACTGAAAATAGAAATTAAGTGATTGATTAAGCTAGGAATAAAAGTGTAATGTCCTCAAAAGGCTGCAGCCCCAACTGGAGTCCTTTTTGGACCTTAGATGTTACATTCCAGCTGCTGATCTCATTTGATCTATAATCTGACTGAACTTCCAGAGGCAACACCCTCTTGCCCTGCTCACAGGCAGTCCTGTGCTTTCCTGAAGCAAGCATAACATCTTTAACTTGGATCCCCTGTAGAATAGAACATAAACAGAAAAGGCCAGTCTACCAGACCTAACTGATAACTTCCTCCAAAGGATTATTTCTCTGCTTTATCCAGTTCCTAGCCCCCTAGATTTCCCCTGGGCGTCCATATGGGCTGAACTCTCCACAACATCAAGCTGGTTTAAACATTTATGGCAAGGACTATTAGTCTTGTGGCATGGTCAAATGTGCACTTGTATTAGTTTCAGTAGGGGAGAAGAGCTGCTGCTTGGGAACCTACAGCAGCCTTTACGTTCTAGCAGTTGCATGTACGCGAGGTTTAGAACAAGAGCTCCTCCGTACCTTTTTATATAAGGAAAAGTAGTAAAACTTACTGTGGCCTTTATTATTTAGACAGCAGTAGCACATAAAACATGCCAGGTGCTTGTCAAACTAAGGAAGCCTTAATCCTTGCCCCAGAAAGCTCATGAACTGAGACACTCACCCTACAGAGATCCCCCACAAGTCCTACTGAAGTCATTTACATTCTGTTGTGCATGGCAAAGTTGGGGGCTAAGAAGGCAGAGAGAAACTGAAATCTGAGTGGCCTGAATCCATAAGCTAAAGTGGCTCTTGATGCATCCTGCAGAAGACGTATGAAAATCTGCTTTTCAGCAGCCAGCAAGCACTAAATCCCAATCTTCTGTTACAAAACAGCAGTCTTAGTTGAAGCCTGCACTATTGTTAAAGTTTGGGTTCTTATGTTACTGGGTATCAGCTGATCAGCATTGATTTGGTTATAGAAACATGATAGACTTTTAGATGCCAATCCCGTGTCTCTCTCTAACCTTCTTCTCAAACTTCCTAAGGTTGGATCAGTGGTGGCCGTTGGCTGGATCCGTTCAAAGAAGGGGGTTGACTGGCACCTGTTCCGCAACATATTTCTGGCTTGGTTCGTGACTGTTCCTGTCGCTGGCTTGTTCAGCGCTGGAATCATGGCGATCTTTATGTATGGCATTCTGCCTTATGTCTGAATTGCCACTTCCTCGAGGAACCAGGGAAAATTGCCCAAGCTCTCGTGGTAGGGGAAGAGCACTCCCTGCTAAACTGTCCCATGAAAGAACTAGTTGGCAAGATTTCATCTTCCATATCTAACTTCTTATCTACTGTATATAGCAATGTGTCATACTGGTGACATGGTGATATAACGTGGTGCCGTTTCTTATATATTAAAGAAATATATATGCATATAGTAGGTAACAATACCTAAGTTATAAGTGGGGTGAAAAATAATTGCCTAGAATTTAATATTAGTAAGATTTGTACATAATGTATCATTTCAGTGACAATTTTTTTAATCTTTTGGAGAAGAGTATGGATTAGGAAATGTTTCTTGTCCATTTGATATATGATAAAGCGAGGTACAGGATTGCGTAACACCATTTTTTTTTAAAGCTATTAAGATACTGGAACAAAATGAAATGTGCATAAGTGCTTTTGGTAAAATAACTTTGTTCATATCATATCTTGATTTTGTGTGTGTGTGTGTGTGTGTGTATCTTACTGTAATGGCTTTTTGTAAATACTTACAAACAGTAACTTTTTAATGGTGCATTTCCCTTATATATTTTGGATAAGAAAGTTTAGAAAGTACCAAAGAAGCAGGGGAATAGCTTGCCAGTATTATGTTGTTGTCTACACGTGTGTGCGTGTGTGTGTTGTGTTTTCCCACTTCTAATTTAAGGTTGCTTTGACTAATCTATCACCAGCAAAGCTGGAATAGTACTGTTCATGTCTTACTGTAACTAGCAAAAGAAAAAAAGTATTAGTTCTACCTGTTCTTGTTATTCTGTAGGCATAACAACACTACTGTTCACATCCGATTCTAGTTAACTCACTTCACCTTCTGTGTTGAATTTGAAATGCTCTAAATATTCACCTTCCATCTTGCCCTGCCCCTATAAATCTATGTGAGCCCAGGCCTGCTCTTGGTAGTTCTGCTATCAATTTCAATGATAGCATGACTGGGCCAGAACTATCTTCTCTTTTTCCTGGAAAGTCTCAACCACACAATCTCAGGTAAATGGGTGGGACTGTATGGTTGGTGATTACAAGGCACATATCCTAAAGGAATGTATAGAAGCTTAGGGAAAATCTTAGGCCATGGACAGGCCTGGCACACGTTTGGTTGCTAGACAGTAATAGAGAAAAATGGGATGTGGATGTGTGAATGCACTGATTAAGCCCAACTGAGGCTGGCACACTCAGCCTTTATGGATTAAAACGGATATTATGGGGCTGGATCCTCCCACTGAGTAGCACCCTACTCCACAACTAGTCCCATGCTCTGTGAGGTGCTGTTTGCTAGGGCTTGAGGAGATGAGTCTGGCCCTATAAGAACAGAAGTTCTCTGGTTGCCACTCTTCAGGTCAGGATGTTCATAGCAGCTCAGAGGACAGCATGGAAGATGGCTAGCTCCGTCCCCTGCACAGCACCGAAATGTCAGTTGGGTTAGGGTTACCTGTCCTCACAGGGGGAGGCAGTGTTTGGAAGAAGTAGGGAACCTAGTACTGTTTAAATGCTGCTAAAATTTTGATAAATGTTCTTGGTACTCCATTGTGACTTTTTCCATTGGTCATTCATACTAAATTTGTAATAAAAAGATAAATAGCCCCTATCATTGTTTGCCTCTTGGATTTTTTGAGCATTACTCGTGTGTCAGACATGGCTGGAAAGAGCGCAAATGCTAAAGACTTCCTACTATGGGCAGCTAAAACTTACTACTTGGCATTCATTATCTCTTTGTTCTTTGTCCACTCAGGTCCTTGACCAGTGTGTGTGACAATTGCCTAGTAGCTCAAATAAAACAAAGCTCTGTGTAAAGCAAACAAACCCGTCCTTTTATTTCTGCTGGCCCAGTAATCCCAGCATATGGCCATGAGGCCTGAATCATGCCTGCCTGTTCTGGCAGTGGGTCCTTTAACAAGTGTTTCAGTTGTGTGGGCTGCAGGTTGACGTGTCCCCTTCATGTGTTTCACAGAGTCGGCTTCTCCTCACCTCTGTTTTCAAAAGCAGCTCACCCTAGGGAAATCCTCTTCCCTAGACTGAGAGCCACAAACATTTCTATCACTATGGCACCAAAGTTCTTAATTTTCAAACGCTTGAAAACTCCAGAGCTTTTATGTAACTGATGTCAATGCATGGGTGGGACTTGTGGAAGCTGTCTGAGTGATAGGACAGTCTAATAGGAACATGCAGATGATTTTGAGGCCTGCAGAAACTGGTACAAAAATTGCTATCCTTTATTATGCGATGAGTGAGTCCTTACTCAGGGGCATGATGCTTGTAATCCTTCAGAGTCCCAGCATGCAAAAGGGTCCAAGTCCAGCATGATTTTCACATGGGGCAAGATGAGCATTTCCTGAGAGGAAAGAACATCTTTTTCTCTGTCCAGCATGAGCTGCATTTTCCCTCTGGTCAGGTGAGTGCTTTTTCAGAGGTGTTTTCACATGCAACATAACCCGCAGCCAGCTGAGGGATCACAGGTGCCTACTAAGAGGCCATTAGATGCATAGAAAAACCCAGCAGATAGGAACACCTTGGCACAAAGACCCAACTTTTGTTGCATGCATGCAGGTCAAGTACACACATGCACATAAAGCCAGCCCCAGTGGCTTCGGCCTTTGACTGAAGCTATATAGCCGTGCAGAGAGGGCAGTGGCTGGGATAGATACAGCATCACGAGTGAGATGCTGGCTTGCTTGTTTGCTGCTGTTGGCTGAACATGCACTGCTCCATAGTTCTCTGCTTAGCTGAGGTTTTTGATGAGGGAGGTCTTGGGAGAGCCAGCCTGGTGGGTTTTCAAAGCACCTTACCTGGTGGGTTTTCTTAACACTCCTTACCCCATGGCTATGGATAGCAACTGAATGTCCAGTACACTCAGGATGGAGGCAAAGATGTATGTGGTAAGTCCTACGTGAGCCCTGCACCC